CCCACACGCACAGAAAGAGAGACGGTCCGCCGCTGGCTTTGTTGGGTGTCATCTCGCTCGGCCACGTACCTTTGCGCCGCAGATCTGGCAGATGACGGTGCGTTTGGGGCAGACCTCAGTCATGTGTTTGTGCAGGTCGGCGTACACCCCCCGCCACGTGCACTGGACCTCGCCGTCCTCTCCCACCCCACAGCCATCCTGCCGGCCGCCCTGCTGCCGCTGCCGGTGGGTCTCGAGCTCGTCCTCACCCTCACCCTCGTCGCTCAGACACGAGTCACTGCCCAACTCGCGAAACGACTCACTCGCTGCAATCCACAGAGACAGAGAGAGGGTGGATGGATGGGTGCGTTGGTGCCCACGAACAAGTTTACAAGCTCACCGGATGCTGGGGCATTTTTCTCCTCTCCGCCGCCCTTGTTCCGTTTGCTGACCCCGCCGTTGGCGCCGGCGTCGAATTTGCGCTGCTGCTGTTGCTCCCTCCGGGATGAGAAATCTGGCACTGCCACGGGGGTCGGCAAGGTGCTGGAGCTGTGAAGCAACATACACACACACAGAGGGACAGAGAGGGGGAGGAAGGGGATGCGAATGCGTGTAGAAGGGTCTTGTGTGTGTGTGTGTGTGTGTGGTGATGCGTACCTTATGGTGGTGGCGGTGTCAGCGACGTATGGGCGGACAGGTATGGGCGGTGGGGGGGGAGTGCTATTGGGGCAGCGCAGCGACAAGCCGCCTAAAATGCGATAGAGCGCAGGACTCGCCTCTGAACGAATGCGCCATTACACACACAGACAGACAGACACACGTCACACGGAGTGGTGTGCGTGTGCGTGTGGGTGTGCGTGTGGGTGTGGTGCTGTGGGATTCACTCAGTCACTCACCGCGCAAATCAGATACATCAGCAGGCTCTGAGCGGCAAGTGGGGCACTTGTCGCCCTTCAGACAAGCTGCAGGACACAGACAGACAGAGAACCGTGTGCTGATCTGATGGGAGGGTCGTCGGTCACATTTGCAGAAGAGGTGCGAGCATCGCGTGATGACCGGCTCCTCGACCACGTCCAGACACACTGCACCAACACGCACACACACGAAACGCACCAACGGGCGGGCGTGTGTGACTGTGCGTGTGGCTCATCTGATCTGCATCCAAGCGAGCATCACCTGAGCACTGGAACTGCATCACACACACACACACACACGCGCACACGGACAGACAGACGGAAACACCCACACACAGATGCGCCAACCATTCACAGACCACCGCCACTCCTCCCTCATTAAGCACCACCCCGCCCATCTGTTCATCATTCACCTGTTTGAGGACGTGCAGCCCGTGTTTGGACGCCGCCGAGTCGAACAGGTGCTCATCCAGACCCATGGCAGACTGACTGAGGCAATGAGCAGGCTGTGCTTGCAGGCCACAGCCAGCCGGGAGAGGCGCCAAGTGGAGGCGGTCGTCCCTGCGCCTTTTGGCTTTAAAGCTCGCATGCGAGCTTAGAGCCACTGGGCTTAGGTGGAAGCCCTTGTGAAGGAACTGTGTAGCTCATCCCAGACAGCTGAGGGTGTAGAGCATCATTCGGTCCACTGTCGATCCTTCCTGTGTCCAAACATGGCGAAAGATGACGACTACGACTATCTGTTCAAGAGTGAGCGTCACGGCGCACCAGGGGGGGCTGGGCAGCGCCTCAGAAGAGCCCTCACGCCGCCAATCACTGCCGCTGCCATTGAAAAACTCTGGTGTCTGTGTGTGTGTGTACGTGTGTGTGTGTGCGTTCTGCAGTTGTGCTGATCGGTGACTCGGGCGTGGGCAAATCGAACCTGCTCTCACGGTACTGATACTGACAGACACAGGCACAGGCAGAGAGAGAGAGAGAGAGAGGCAATCCACGACCAGGCTGGAGATAGCACAGTCGTGTGGTATGCGATGCGTCTATGCATGTGCGTGTGTGTGTGTGTAGGTTCACTCGTGACGAGTTCAACTTGGAGTCCAAGTCGACCATCGGTGTGGAGTTCGCCACCAAGAGCGTGCCAGTCAACGGCAAGACCATCAAGGCGCAAATATGGGACACCGGTCAGTCACTCAGCCAGTCAGTCAGTCAGTCGTCATGACAACACGCGCGTATGACGAGTGCTCATCTATCTGCATCTGTCTGTCTGATGTGTGTGTGTCTGTTGTGTGTGTCACATCACGTCAGCTGGTCAGGAGAGGTATAGGGCCATCACGTCTGCGTACTACCGGGGCGCTGTGGGGGCACTGCTCGTCTACGACATCTCCAAGAGACAGTCATTTGAAAACGTACGAACAGATACACACCCAAGCGCATCCAGATGGACGGATGGTAGTTCTCTGTCTGTCTGTCTGTCTGTCAGATTGATCGGTGGCTGAAAGAGCTGCGCGATCACGCCGACCCCAACATAGTCATTTTGCTGGTCGGCAACAAGGCCGACCTCAAACACCTAAGGGCCGTCACACAAGACGAAGCAGCGTCATTCGCCGGTAGCCGACCGACGGACCAATGACGCATCCTTCTGCATCATCTCTCTCTCTCTCTCTCTCCCTCTCTCTCTCAGAGCAGCAGGGCCTGGCGTGCATCGAGACCTCCGCACTGGACTCGATGAATGTCGAGACGGCATTCCATCGCATCCTCTCAGGTACCTAGCTTACCTGAAAAAAAAAGGCGGCCCGGTCGCCCGCCCAATGCACCGCTCCATATGTGCACCTCTGCACCCATACGAATGGCTGCCTGCAGAGATATACAATTTGATGAGTAAGAAGACTCTGAGCGACCGGCCAGAGCCGTCCAGGCCAGGGGGGATGCGCGGCGCGCCAATAAGGGTCAGAGAGAGATGGGGTGGGAACGGCGAGAAGGGGGGGGGATGGATGGCCATTTGTGTGTGTGTGTGTGTGTGTGTGTGAATGTATCAGGTGGATGAGGAGAACACACGGCCGCCCCCGGCCCGCTCGTCTGGCGGGTGCTGCAGATGAGATGAACCTCGTCCACACGTACGCCTCTCTCCTGTTTGGGCTGCATCTGTCTGTGTTTCCTTCTCTAATCGATCGCTTTGGGGTCTCTCACTCATTCATTCGGCAGCCCTGTCTATTGCCTGCGTGTCATTGCGTTTCGGTCTGCTGGGTGTGCGCGTGAGGGCCGAAGAGGGAGAGAGAGGGGTGTGAGTGGCTGGTGTGGTGTTGCATGCCCCTCTCTCTCTCTCTCTCAACAATTCGTTGTGTGAATGAGTTGATGACTCGCTTCGTTCGTGATAATAAAGTCTGAATGCTGTGCCATGCTGCAAAAGCTGTGGGCGTTGTCGCCACGCCATTGCAGGTCCATCTGGACACACACTCAGACACGCACTCACTCACCCACTTAAATTCACGGCGGCAACGCACACGCGTACGCACACATACACGCGCACACAGGGAACACACACACACGTGTATGCCATAAAGGTCCTCCGCCCGTCGTCGCATATAACGTACGCCACACGCCAACACGTAGGCAGACAGAGAGAGAGGCGGAGAGGGAGAGAGAGAGAGGTACACAGACAAAGAGGGAGGGGGAGGGGAGGAGGGGCGAGATGCGAAACAAATGATGGAAGGGCGGATGGGGGCATGGGTGGTGTGCCGCGCCCCAGTGCGTGCCTTGTTGGTCTGTGCTGTGCTGTGCTGTGCTGTGTGGTGGGAAGGAATCTACTACATACTACATATAGACGACCTTGACTTGACGACGGGAAAAAGGCGAAAATCAAAACTGATGCCTCTCCTGTCCTCTCCTGTCCTGTCTTGTCTACTCTGTCACTCCACTCACAGACAAAGACACCACCACCAGCACCACAGTCAGCACACGGGGCACATCGGTGGTATGCTATGCTGCTCAGCCGATGTTGAGTCGGAAAAGGTCATTGAAACCTGAATGAAACACACCCACACACCGGTCTGGGTGTGTGCGTGTATCAGTTGTGGTGTGCAGTGTTGCGTACAGTAGTATCCGCCGCCTTGTGCGTTTGGCTGCAGGTGGAAGACCTGCGCAAACTTGAGGGGATTCGCCTCGTTGTCGACCATCAAGGTCCCTGACCGTCACACACAGATATAGATGTAGACAGACACACACATGATCAGTGCTCATGCATTTAACGCGGTACGCCCGCCCGCCCGCCCGCCCGGGGGTGCGCGTGTGTGGACGCTCACCGACCCGTGACGAAAACGAGGATGCCGTTGTTGACGGAGGGTTGGCTGTCCACCTTGATGACCTGATGGCGGATCTGATGCACACATCCACGCATCCACACGCAGTCCATCCATCCATCCATCCATCGTGTGTGTGCTGGCCAGCATTGCCCGCCCAAACACCGCCCGCCCGCCCACCGACCTGCTGGAACTGCAGCGAGTTGAGCTTCTGCATGATCTGCTGCACGCCCTGCACCACGACACACATCCACACAAACCACAACACAAGAGAACATGCACCTTCCGTTCCATCTCGCCTTCCCCCGTCCGCACCTTGAATTGGGCATCTTCGAAGGTCAGCATGGACGCTTCGCCGTACAACGGCGCAAGGCCATTCCTGCACACATACACACAAACGCATGCAACCAACCAACCAACCAGCAGGACAACAGAACAACAGAACACAAGATAACAGACGCGCTCGCGTGGCAGCAGCCAGGCCGGCTTCATTTTCGTTTCATCTCTCTGTGGCTTGCCGGTTGGTGTCGAAGGTGTTGTAGTAGTGCTGCACGAACTGCATGGCGACGGACGCAAAGTCGTTGCTCGCCATGCTGCCTTTGGAAAGATGCAGCTCCAGATCCGAAAAGGGATAACCACAAGGGGCCAGGCAGCCGAAAGTGAGCCTGGCGAGATGCGACTCAAGTGCGAGCTTAAAGCCATTGCGAGCTGGGGTTGTTGAGCGCCTCACGTGCTTTTGTTGAGCTCTGTTGTAGCTTTCCTGTATCCGCCTATTATCGCAATGGAGACCCGAAGCAAGGCCAAGACCAAACGAGCCCGTCGCACCGGTGCAGCGGCAGCGGCAGAGAGGGTGGCCTCTCCGCCTCGCACAGCACGTCGTCGGCAGGCCCACCCTGGGCCCTCCGAGCAGCCACGCAATCAGAGAGCCTCTGGGGCCGTCGCCGCACCGCCACTCTTCGAGCGCGACGGCCTCCCGCCCGACTTCCTGTTGCAGGTGGTGCTGCTGCTCCCGGTGGCGTCTCGCGCAGCCCTCGCCTTCACCTCAGGCGCCCTCGGCTTGGCTGTGGCGGTCGACTGGCTGGAGCACATTATCCGTGAGAACCCAGGCCTCGCGAGCGTGCTGACCTACGACAGCACCTGCCCACGGGCATTCCTCCTACTCTTGGCTTACTTCATGGATGCGGGCGGCCCCTGGCAGCGGTGGTTCGCTCCTCTGCGCATCGCCGCGCACCACGGCTGGCTGCCTGAGCTGCCCATCAGGCTGACGGCCAAAGACGCGCACGAGGCGAAGGCGTTCGAGGGGTTCACTGAGCTGCCGGTGAGTTTGCGGCAGTGGCAGTTGGTGGGTCACCGGCTGGCGCGGGATGGGCATGATTTGACGCTGGTGGGGCGGCTGCCGCTTGGGCTGGGGATGCAGAAGCGATCTGCGTGCGCCAACGGGATAAGGCTGCACAGGAATCAGGTCAACGCCTTCCTGGCGTACCCGGGCACCTTCCAGACCGTCGACTTCGTACACGACTTGCCCACCAACGGTGAGCGGGCTGACGAGTTGGGAAGGAGTGCCTGGCCTTACGGATGCCATTCATGCGTGCTTCTTCCTTTGTGTGTCTGTCTGTGTGTCGTGTGTGTGTGCAGATTGGTACGGCACTCATGCTGCTTTCCGGGAACTGATCCTCCTACAGTGAGCAAACCAGCCAACCACCACTGCAGTATTGATAGCATTCCTTCTGTCTTGCCCTGATTCGTTCAGCACGCAGCTGCGGGGCCGCCGTGAGGTCGTCTCCGTGCAGGAGGTCATCGACCTTAGCGACATGGAGTCCGCGACGCTCTTCACGCGCGCCAACGACATCATCACGCAGCAGGAGCCGTCCGTGTGGGGGCGGCCCACGGTTTGCCGCTGGCTCGCTTTCCAGGAGGTCGGGCGGGTCGTGACGCTCTACGGTGACGGACCCGATGACGCGTTCGCCCTGCACATCGCCATCACCAAAAAGAGGTAGGTCGCTAAAAACTCTCAGCAATACGAAGGCAATCGGGCTATTTGTCCGTGTGTGTGTGTGTGTATGTGTGTGTGGCACCAACGTAACACACAGGAGTGAGGACCTTCGGATGTTCAAGTTCACCGACATCGTGAGCGTGCGGCTGTTCACGACCGAGCGGCCGCAGAAGGGGCAGCGGGGCATGGCCCGCTTCCCCCAGTCGGTGCCCAAGGCGCGGGACGTCATCGGAGCGGACGACGTACGGGTGCTGCTGGGCGGCCGCCTCTCGTGCATGCGCCACTCCACCTGATAGATACCGATACGAATGGATGGATTCCGGTGAGTGGGGGGGGGATGGGAAGGGGAGGCACTGACATGCACAGCACAGGTCTCTCTCTCTTCATGTGTCAGTCAGGTTGGCGTGTCGAGGCACATCTATCGCAGCAGTGTTCCTTTTGACGTCAGTGTGTGCATATGTATGTGCGTGGCTGGACGGCTGGCTGGTGTGTGTCGTTTCGGGTGGGTGGGTGGGTGGGTGGGTGAGTGGGCACGAGAAGATGATAGGGGTGGTTTGCCGTGCCCATGCTGCCCATCCTCATCGCTCGATAGCCGTGATACGAATGATATGGTAGCCTTCACACACAAGATAGTAGCACAAGATAGAGAGATGGGGGGAGAGATGGAGTGCTCTCATGCAAAAGGGCAACTCATGATAGCCGTGCCTGCCCGCTTCCAACCAACCGCCAAGATATGATAGACTGGTTGGCAAGTGAGCGGCGCGTCCAGGGATGGGCTCACGGGGGAGATAGGAAGCGGCCCACACAGAGATAGATAGCACAGGGGAGCGAGGGGTGAGGGAGGGGACGGATGAGCTTAAAGTTTCTTTCTCGTCATGGTGCGTGGGATGGATGTGTACAGACTGACGACTGAATGTATGGAAACCGAAACGCGCGGATGACTGAAAACGATTCGATAAAACCCATAAGTAGTAGTGAGCGAAAGATTCACGCACAAATGCACATTTGTCTGGCCACAATTCTCTGAACCTTTCTTTGCCATAGCATGTATGTTGTATCGACAGGACGAACCGCATCCAGTCAGCAGACACGGACACCAACACACACTGTACAAAAGCGAAGCGTTTTTGACACACGGTCTATTATCAGACTGTCTGTCTGTCTGCCTGCGCTCTCCTTGTCCCGCGTCCCTGCTCTCACCAACCGCCCGGACCCACAGATCGACTCGAATGCAGACAGACGGAAAAGCAAATCGTCGCGTCAGACAAGGCAACACCAAATCGCCAGGCTCAGAATGTCACTGCCTCTCAATCCATCCACTCATCCACTCATCCATCAATCGGTTGGCGTCACTTGTGCGCCTTCCGGATAGCCTGCCGATGGCTGCGGGTCTGTTGGCCGCCGGCTGTAGTCGATGCGCTGCATCAGGCCGTCTTCCGTGAAGGTGATGACTTCGGCAGCCGAGCACACCATAACAGCAGCACCATCGCCACTGTCGGCCCGCCAGTAGCGGTCGAAGGCAAACTCCACTTGACGAGGGCCGACCAGCTCAAAGGAATGAAACTGCATACAGCCACACAGGCAGACACATAGATGGCTTCCGTGAGTCAGTCCATTGTGTGTGCTCATAAGCTCACCACCCAGTATACGTCTTTGTATCTCCTTCTGAACGCCCTCATTCCTTCGACGATGGCCGCCCGCCCCTCATTCCCATAGATGACGGCATCGTCGTTGATCATGCGAAAAATGCCAGACAGGTCGTGCAGATTCGACAGCCGCCCGTACTCTCGCGCAAGAGCCACATAGTCAACAGCCATGAATGACGAACAGGCGCGGCGCAAAGCGAAGTGCTGAAATGTGCACGGCTGCAAATGCAGGCACTGGCAGGCGGCAGCAAAGGGCAGCAGCATGAGATCAAAGATTAAGCTCGCAGATCTCAGAGAAAAAGCGAAGCAAGGGGACGCAGCCACCCCTGTGCAGCATCGAGGGGTGGCTCAGCGTCCTTGCTCAAATCGATGAGTTGACTGAGTGGCATCGTCGCGTCTATCCTTCCTGAGGTACGCCAGGCAGAGAGAGGGAGAAGGCCAATTCACCATCGGTGCCGCCCTCATGTGCTGTGTGTTTGGATGTCAGGGAGGGACCGGGAGAATTGGTTAAGTGGTCGCCTCTGAGAAGGCCTCGGAGTTCTCATCGCGGAGCCCAGCCGCTGAGTTAGATCTACAGCAGCAATGGAGGGTGACGATGTACAGGTGAGGGCATCACAGCACCCCTGCAATGGGTTTGTCTATTGGGTGCGTGTGTGCAGGTCAAGAAGTCCCGTCGTGAGGGCACACCAGCAGCGTCTTCTTCGTCTGCCTCTTCATCTGCTGCTGCTGGTGTTGACAGCGATGAGGAGCGACAGCGTCGCGCTGAGAGGGAAAGCAACTTTCGGCAACAAATCACTGACATGGTGATCCAGACACTGACACTCACACCTCTTGCCGTCCCGTGTGCTGTGCTGTGTGCAGCCCGGTCTCCTTAGCATCGTCATGGCCTTCCTCCCAATCCACCTGCTGATGCAGCTGCAGCTGCCGCCACTGACATGGCAGCACGCGGCTCGGAAGCAGCACCACCTCACCATCAGCGCAGCAGACCAGCACGAGCGGTCGTTTTGGCAGACGGCCACCATCGACCTCGTCAAGGAATGGGCCACATACCTCAGGCAGCTCACGTCCATCGTCCTTCGCTACCCACTCGGCTTCCCCCGGTGGTGTTTGGACGTGTTTCTGGCCATGGTAGAGGGCCACATTGCCGGCCGACGTGCAGCCAACATGGGTGGCGGGACTCTGCAGAGCATCACCATCGAAGAAGGGGTTCGGGTGACCGACCTGGAGCTGCGGACCGTCTTGAGGATATACCCTTCCCTCCCACCTCGTCTCGACCCGCCCCCGACCCTCCACGCACTCACGACCATTGAGGGTCTGCACCGCGACCATCAGGGGCTGGCCGACCGACGCTGGGAGATGCCCTCACTCACCACCGCGCAGCAACGGAATTGGGACGCCGGCAGATTGGGCCAGTTCATCAGCTCGTCCCGCTCCCTGCGGTGCGTGGACGGGAGCTTTGGGGGTGAGGTGTGGCCGCGTGTACTTGAGGGCATCCCTGCGGCACCTGCTGGGCAACCGGGACGGCCACTAGCTCAGCTGGAGAGCATCGGCACAATCGAGATCGACTGGCACGACCATCGGGTGCGGGAGGGCATAGATCGGCTTTAGGTGAACACAAAGCACGCACGTGTGCAGCAGGTCGTGGGGGTTGGCTCATGATGTCCTTCCTGTATCTGTGTTTGTTGTTGCTGCAGGAAGTGCTCGTTGCGCGGGGCTGCCGACAGTCACTCGAGCAGCTGCACGTGTGCTTTTATGGCACCCACGTCGGCCGCCGCAACTTGCCCGTCCTGGTGGCCCTGGACCGACTGGTCGGCACGTGCTGCCGACAGGACGCCCCACTCATTCTCACCACCGCCACCCTCGGCCATACCGAGTTCGACCTGTCCATTTTCGACTCCGCCGACTTTCCCTCCCACCCTTCACCCTCATTCAAGACCATGCTGCAGCAGCTGGCCCGGCAGGCCTTGCGTGTGCAGTACATCCTCACCCAGGACGGCCTCGCCGACCCGCACGCCAATGCCAGCGAATTGGCCATCGACATCGCATCCAGCCTCTCATTCGACAAGGCCGAGACGGTGGAGGTCAAGAATGCCGACGACTTCGATCCCCCGACCAACACCCCATCGCCGCACCCCACCATCATCACCCACCTAAAGCCATTCCCGAAAGCCTCACGGCTGCATGTCTGGAGCGACCTGGCTGTTGCTGCTGCTCGGCTATTCGCCGCCAAGATGCCCGAGGAGGTGCTGGTGGTGTGCGCCTACGGGGTGTTGGGTGGTGATGAGCAGGTGGGCGTGTTGACGGCGCTGGGGGGGCAGAGGGAGGTGCGGTATGTGGTGATGGGGGATGTCGGGGTCGACCAACTCGTGGGGGCGGTCGGCAGCTTGCCTACAATCTCGGGACTTCGTTTCGCCACGACACGTACGCCGAGAGGGAGGGGAAGTGTGTCCCTCCGTCCTCATCTCTGGCCTTGTGTGTGTTCCCTCCCTCTCAGTGCCTGCTGATGTGCAGGATGCCGGCAGCTTCGTCCGTGCCCGCCTCTCATCGGTGATCCCGCACATCAGAGGCCTCCAGAGCGTCACACTGCAGGTCAAAGAGACGACAGCTGGGCAGCACGATTCCATCCTCGCTTCCCTCCCTGTTGGCGCCAACATCGGTGCTTTCTGCTCCCGAGCCATCAGCGGGTCGGACGGCGGATGGACGGTAGTTACTGCAATTCGCAATCCCTGAAGGTGAGGGAACGGCACCCATTCACAAGACGGGCTAACTGTCTGCTCTGTGTGTGTGTGTGTATATGCTGTGTGTCTATTGTGTGTGGTGGATTATTCGTAGCAGACGGGCAGTGGGGGTTGTTCTTAGCCGACGACATTGAGTCGCTGCCTAGCATAGCTTCATGTGTGTGTCTGTGTGCGTGTGGATGCGTGGCTGACCAGTAGAAGGCTTCATGTGTTTGTAAACGGGATGGATGGATGGACAGACTGCTCTGCTGACATGAATATCTACCGATCTGCAGGACTGACTGCATATCGACCGATCTGTCTGTCTGTCGGGTAAATGTTTCCGTCCATGGTGGCATCCACCCACAGACTCTACCTAGGCAGGCAGCCAGCTATCGCACTCCTCTCCCTTTGCACGCACACCCGCACACACACAGAGAGAGAGACATCCAGGACGTCACAGACACACACACCCACACAGAGACACGGAGGGCAAAGATAGAGAGGCGTCTGTCTGTGTGTCCTTTCGCACAAGCATCGACCCACAAATCACTCACACAGCCATCCATCAAAGTAGCACCGAATGGCGAGGCGCCAGCGGGAAGCGTTTCACCATCTGCTCCTGATCTGCAGTGACCTTGTGGCTGCAGCTGTTACTGGTGAATGGCCGCGGGCGCCATCGGTGGCCTCGTCGTTGCCACGATGATACTCGACGGCACACACTGCCGGGTACCTGCACCAACCAGAGGGAACAACAAGGCGGAAAATGAGCAACGGCATGGGTATCGTGTTGCATCATGATCGTTGCATCATGATCAGCCAGCGCCGTTGCCACATCGGGAATGCCTCGTGACGCCGCCAAGTGTGGAGAGCCGTTCCAGCCGTCAACACGCTTCTCTCATCGGGATTGAGCGCGCCATGGTGACGTCGTGCAGACCCTCCACACGATATAGCTTGTCCGAGCTGCTGACAGGATTCCTGTAGACTGAGATGTAAGGCGGCAAACTCCAAACCGGCAGGGCCAAACAGGGGGCATCCCTAGAGGGCATTGGAAGAGATGGACTGATCCCCAGTGCTTGGATCTTCTTGAACGCCGAACTTGCAGCGTCATGGACAGAGGAAACTCAGAGGAAGATGGGCTGGGATCTTGATAGCCGACTGTCGGCGGACGGGAGGCAAGCAAGCAGCTGTCGAGGGTCCCCTAGCTCACGCTGCTTTCCCGACGAGCAGATGAATCACAGATCTCGGTGGCATAGCTGCTGTTGATGATAATGGGCGCGAATGGCATCGATATCGTCGAGGGCCGGGGAGGCTGACCGGGGCTGTGAAGAGGCCGAGAGCATGACACACCGAGATCGCATTCAGAAGCTGATCGAGAACATCTCAGCCGATAATGGCGCCTCTCACGGCACCCTCCTGCTCTGCCATTTCAACAAGCGCCTAGGGTGCTCCATGAAACCGCTGCAGCACCAGCGGGAGGCGCCAACACACGGCATCCCTCTCGGCCCCAGGATCTCCTCTCGGCTCTCTGCAACCACCTGCTGCAAGGATCTGCCAATCCATTGTTTCCCGCTGCCCCGTCTTATCGTCTTCCCGCTTCCTCGCCGATGACCGACACGCCGGCTTCCCCTCACAACGCTCCCTCTGAGGCTTCATCAAGCCTTGTCCAGGCCGTCGATGCAGAGGAGCTTCTCAGGCTGCGGGAAGAGCGGGATGAGTGGCGAAGACGGAGCGAGCAGGCTGAAGAGCGTCTACGGCGGTTTGAGGCCTTCGAGGGGCAAGGAAAGGTGTCTTACTCCGATGGCCGTCGCTACGAGGGCCAGCTGAAGGGCGGCAAGCGCGATGGAGAGGGGAGGATGACTTATTCAGATGGCGGTGTCTACGAAGGCCAGTGGGAAGACGATGAGCGTGCGGGGGTTGGGCGGTGGACTTGTTCGGATGGTGTCTACGATGGCCAGTGGAAGCTGACAAACGTGAAGGAGATGTAAAGATGACTTGGCCGAGTGGTTCTGTCTTCCAGTATGGCCGAGTCAAGGTGATTCTTCCGCGTGACAGCGTCTACGAAGGCCAACGGAAAGGCGGCACCCGTGAGGGATGGGGGAAGATGACTTGTCCGGATGGGTTTGTCTTCAAAGACCCTTCTGGATGTTTTTGCGACCCGATGACTTGTTCGGGCGGTACTGTTTACGAAGGCCAGTGGAAGGACGGCATGCCTGAAGGAGATGGGAAGGTGACCTGTTCGGGTAGCTGTATCTGTGACATTCCGGGACCTGATTTTCTACTTCGGCCACCCCGCTCTACTTCGGCTTTGCTTATCACTTCTACGTACAAAGACGACACACAGAAGATTACTTTTCCGGAGGCATTGTTTACGAAGCCAGTCGTCGTGACTGATACTGCGCATATGTGAGCGTGCATGTGGCCTTTGTGTGTCGTGTGTGCCTGCCTGCCTGTGTGTGTCGTGTCTGCTGTAAATCAGCTGCTAGTCCATTTCTTCGGGATTTGTGATAGTCTCAAATGGTGCTTTATTAATCGTGTGGACATACCTACCAGACACGTGAGGCGAGTGACACTTCTACGTCAGCTCGGTTGATGGAATATGGAGGCGCGTCCATTTTAGCTATGCAGGCAGGACAGCCATCCATGCCACTCCTTTCCCTCTGCATACACACACATCCACACGCACACACACACGCGCACACGCACACACACACATCCATGCATCTTCACGCAGACGCACATGCACATGCAGCCACAAAGTGGGACGTCATAGACGGGGAGAGAGAGGGAGGGAGAGGGGGAGGGAGGGGTGTGTGCGTGTGTGGTTGGGGGGTGGGAAAAAGGCAGGGGGCAAAGAAAGAAGAGAGAGAGGCGTGTGTGTTGTGTTGTGCCCTTCCCGCGTGTCTGTGTGTCCGTCCTATCGCACAAGCATCAAGCCACAAATCATTCATTCATGCAGCCATCCATCCAGGAGCTCTGCCTATCCTCTACAACCCCGTACCGCACACATTCACCCGGCACACACACACACTCACCCGGCACACACACATACACTCACACATACACACATACACGCACCCGCACACGCACACTTAGGCCCTCGATTAAAACGCCCTCAGTCTCTTTTCTATCCGCCGGCCTTCAGCAGCTACCTACCTCATAAGGATGGGTGATATGTACACGTGTGTGTAAGGCGTGTGGTGTTTGGTGTTTGGTTTTGGGTGTGTCGTTCTTTTGCCGGCCGGCCGGTCTTATCTATCTCGTAGTCTTAGTCTACTTGGGCTGCACTTTGCCGCCCTCCTCCTTCTTGGGGGGCCCCTGCATCTTGGACAGGACGTAGCCCAGTACCAGGAAGATGATGGCGAATATCAGGGACACCTGCACACACACACGTATACCCACACACGTCAATATGCGCACACACATATAGAAGGGCGGGCGGGCGGACGGGTGGCGTACCTTCAGTTCGACGCCTTTGCCGGGGGACCGTCCGAAGATGGTGACGCCGTAGATGTAGACGAAGAGCGTGGCGACCGTGTCGGCGATGCCCTTCCATATGACGTCGAGGCGCTTCATCAGCATGCAGTTCATCGCCCGCGGATCGCATACCTACACACACACCCATAACACACACACAGGGAGGGAGGGAGAGAGAGTGTGTACCATGTGTGTGCCCGTCCGTGTGTCCGGTGCGTACCAGCAGACGAGGAAGTAGACGCGACCGCTCCACACGCAGGGCTCGAAGCCACCGCAGTCGATGCCGCCGAAGAGGCCGATGTGCCACAGGTTGCCCCGCCAGTACTGAATCAACGCCACTATCACGCTCGCCGTCACGCAACTAAACATCGTCTGTTGGGGGAGAG